ACACACACACACAAAAAAAAAAAAGAAGGAAAAAACAAAGAAGATTGCTCATTCGCTATTGTAAACTACAGCAGTATTGTGATATTTGTAGAAGCATCAGTTGACAAGCATATTGAATCTTGTATTGGGAAGAAGAAGGTAAACTTTTAACTTTCCTTTTTTGAGAGGAACTTTTAACTTTTTAATGATGGGTACGATTCAAGGCCTGAAGACAGTTCAGCTATGTAGAAAGCGCAAGGTCCTTTCTTTGAGGATTTGGCAATGCTATTCCTTGTCAGTATTTCTGTATCTCAAGTTTCATGTCTCCACAAGGTTTTGCTGCTGGAATCAACATTTGCTATATTCTTTATGCTTACAGGGTTTTCTGCAAGTTGAAGTTTCCTTTTTGATGTTAGTTTAGAGAGAAAAGGGAAAACAGAAGCAGCTGGAAACTAGGGCAAGAGATAGGGTTAAAACCAGTGTTTTAAAAGGCGTGGGCGTAAGGCGAGGCGTTTTACATATGCCTCAGCGAGGCGTAAGCCCCGAGGCACGGGGCGTAAGCCCCATAGGTATTTAATTTTTAATATTTTATAAAAAAATATAATTACATTAAATATTTATAAATAGTTAAAATTGCATAAAAATTGAAGAAAACTATAAATATGTGGAATATATATATATATATATATATATATAAATGTGTTCCATCCCCACAAAAAACTAATCAAAATAATTTATTATACGCTACTTAGAAGCACAACTAACTTGAGTCGAAAAGAATAAAGTTTCGGACAAAAAGGATGACTAATCTGTAATTTGAACTTTGAACTTGCTGCTACGAAAGAGAATGGAGTTCTCTTTGTATTTGTTAAAAATAATTGAATATTCGTTGTTTTGGGGAGATATTAGCAGACTAGCGGACAAGATAAAGAATTGGGAAAGACCATGAATTAGGGCTTCAATCAATAAAAAAAGGTCTTGACTTTTAAATTTAATACATTTCAGTTCCTTTTTAAAACTTTTGAGTAATTACCAAGCTCACTTTTGAGAATTTGGGTATATTATAAAGGACTTATTCAACAAATTTTGTTTTAATTTGAAAAGGTTTTTGGGGCTTACGCATCACTAAAAAAACGCGCCTCAAACGTCCGAGCATACGCCCCGAACGCCCGGACGTACACCCCGAACGCTCGGGCATACGTCCCAAATTGTTGGGCGTACGCCTCTTGAGACTTTCGCCCCACACCTTCGCCTCGGGGCGTTTTTGGTGCGCCTCGTCCCAGGGCTCGCCCCAAAAACGCCTTTTAAAACACTGGTTAAAACGATTAATGTTATTTTCTGCATTTTATTTAGCTTGAAATTGATCAGGATTTAGAGTTGTGCCATACATACAACTACAATCCTCTGAACTTATGAAACAGTTTCTTAAAGGTTTAATCAGATTAACTTTGAACTTCCAAACAGTGGTTTGAAGTTCCAAACTACTGCAACTGAACTTCAGTTCAATGGTTTAGAGTTTGAAACTGCTTGTACCAAACTTCAGATAAAAAAGAAGCAGAAGAAGAGGAAGAAGAAGAAGCAAGGAGGAGCAAGAAGAGGCTGGCTCTAGTCTTCCACTTATGTCTGAAAAAGCTTTTTTAAAAGCGGACAAAATTTAAAGAGACACCTCAAAAAAGGACATAGAGTGATATTTCCTGCTTTATAAGGAACTAGATAGCACGGGCCAAACATAGAGAGAGACTATTAGTAATACTTGCTCATGTTCCAGTTTCATTGCCAAAAAATCATGAAAGAATCTGCTACATGACTAACACCAGAACTCTGAGTTTAATTAATTAGAATGAGCACATTGACACAGAATACAATATTCTAAGAACCCAATGAGCAATAATGTAGTAGCTCAGCACTGCAAACGTGGCGGAAGTCACCCCTATTTCGCTGTCCAGGTAACTGTTGACTAATGACCTAAAAAATGCGTGAAGCAACATTACATTGCCCTCCTCATGCTCTTTTAGCTGTTGAGCCGTTTTACAATAGTGATATCGATACAATGAAGTTCGCGGCGAAGATGGAGAGGTTTTTAGGGGGTGGGGGTAGTGGGGAGGAGTTGGTTAGGGTGGTGGTTAGGATGTCTAGGGCAATGAATTCACAGTTGGTGCAGCAGACGTTTCAGGCGCCAAAATGCTATTTGGGTTTGCCACCTAGGAGTGATGTGGAGGGTTATGAGGATGCTGAGCTAGGGATGAAGATTGCTTGTGGGTTTGAGATGATGTATCAGTTGAGGAAGAAGCAGGGGATTGAGGGAAAAGGAGGGAGTACTTGGGAGGCGTTTAAGCAGAGTCTTGAACGGAGTGGGTATTTTGAAGTGTTGTTGCAAGGATCAAAGGAGTATAAAAGATTGATGCAGAATGCTGAGGAGTATTACAAGAATAGTTCACTGCATGCTAGAGATTGATGCAGTGATGCTGAGGAGTATTACAAGAATAGTTCACTGCATGCTAGAGATTGATGCAGTGATGCTGAGGAGTATTACAAGAATAGTTCACTGCATGCTAGAGAAAGGTACTCGCTGTTTGTTAGTTTGTATAAAGCTTGATTTTTTAAAAATGAAATTATAGAAGATGCACATTTACGTTCTATGAAATAATTGTTCACTTTTAGAATTTGTTTCATAAGCTTGATACAATTGGTTACTTGGATAGGATGAGTTTGAGCTATATTTGGCATTTGGGGTGTGTGTGTGTGTGTGTAGTGAGGTTCCCTGCCAAAGGGGGGAGGGTGTATGCAATGGCTTCTTGTAATGAAGTAACAAACAAAAATATGGGTGACATCATAAGAGCACCACTAATGATATCTGCAGATTTGGGTAAAATAAATTATGCCGACGTGTTCATAGTACAAAATTTCTGCACATCAGGTAAAAAAGTATGGACATTGCCTTGTCAGATCTATGTGGTATCACTGGCAGCTTCACGTATCCTTGGCTAAAATGTCTCTTCAGTGTGTCTGTGTAGCTTTAGTTAATTTATGATACATCTTATGACCTACCATATGCTATGGACTTCCATTACAAGTTCAAAATGTTGTATACTTTCCTATGTGTCCAAGATGTGAAAAAGGGGAATTTGATGCTTCTGCATAGCAGAATTTGTGTATAGAGTAATGATACCGGATTTTGTAAACCTTTTACCCTATTTATTTAAAAGAAAGTTGGAGCTGGATGCAAACTATGATCTGAATCTTCCAGAGAAACACATTTTGTCCAGTTTTTAGTCTTTGAATAATTACTTCTTACCTTACTAAAAGGAAAGCTTGAAAATGTAATGTAAGTGATGTGGTCGTATTGTTTACTGTAATGGTTACATTTTTCTCTTTGCTTGTATTTTCACCAATTTCTCCTCTTATTGCTCGATATGCTGATATTACTGTTTATATTAATCTTGTCTGAGATGCCCTTGTGTGTCATATAAGTATTCCTTAACGTGCTATTAACCAACTATTTAAAAAAGCAGTGATATACTAAGTGCACCAGTGCGAAGAATAGATGAGATCCTTGCCCTTCCTATGTCTGCTGATGACTTCAAGGATCAGGAGCTGCCACCGTCTGATGATGATTCATGGCTTTATGATGGGGAGGATGAGCTAAATGCCGCTCTTCAAGAGAGGCAAAAGGAGATGGAACTTTACAATTCAAAAAGGAAATAGAAATCGAAAGAGCAGGATGGGCCCAACAATGGTTTTGATAATTTTGATCTTAAAGATATATCAAAGTCTATGCAAGCATTTGTTACGAAAGTGGCCAGCTATGAAGGTTCAGAGGTCCCAGAAGACAGGTTTTTGTCCTTCATTCTTCTCATTTCAACTCTTGGAGTAGCATATGCTTGATCTCTTTTATTTTGTTTTTACTGACAAGAGGTTACATTGTAACATCTTATAATTATTGGGTTTATGCTATTTGGATTAACTGACTTGCTGATTATAGTGATTGTCTTTGTACATATTCTAGGGTGCAAGGGTAAAATTAGATCAGATAGTTATGAAGCAAGTGACTGCATCCTAAATCTGGTCATAATAATTAAGTTCCTTGTAATAGATAGAAGGAGGGCTAGTTTGGTTAACCCTACTGTATCTATATTCTATGTTAGCAACATCTCTTTGAAAATAAAGGTGTAAGCAGTCAAACTGGTGAATAAAGAAGCACGTGCGTCCCATCCTCCAGTAACTTATGTTGGCCTATTCTCTACCTCCTATAGGAGCATAAAGGAAGTGGACTTTGAATCGCTTTATGAAAGACATGGAGTCATTTGTGAGGCGTCAGGGCTCTGGAGACGCTGGCAGTGATGTTGGTATAGAAGAAGAGTCATCATCGGATATGGAGTTTGGTGATTCACGTTTTTTTATTTCTGTAAGTCGATCTTTTTAGTAGCAATAGCCAAATTCTATTTATTAACTTTACATGCAGATTGGAATTTTGTCGCTTATATTTATAATATTGGTGTCTGTGCCAACGAAAATTGCCTAGTTTTAGATGGATATCTCACAGTTTTTTCTTTCAATTTTCCTACTATATATATATATATATATATATATATTATTATTATTATTATTATTATTTTTCTTTCTTTCTTTTTCTTTTTCTTTTTGGGGAGGTGCGGACAGGAAAGGGATTTGAGACTTGGTCCCCCTTAGGCTGGGTTTGGTTTAGGTAAGGTGGTGGGGCGCCGGATTATTTTCCTCGTTCAGTATGGAGGTGAAGTGATAGTGGAAGGGACGGCTACTCCTCCATGACAAGCTTAACCGTCCAATTCTTATCTGTCCAAATGTGGACAAGAAATCACTTTTACATTGGGGGTGGGTAGGATAACCTCCTCTACATGCCCCCCGGCCCCCAACAAACCCAAAGAAAGTGCAAAATAAGAAGAAAAAGAAGTGACATTTATTGGACATGCAGATGAATCTGAAGATGAGAATGATATCGCCGAGCTATCTGATGAGGATGAGGAAGGTGCTGCTTTCATGCATTCGTATTCGGGCGCTCTGAATGAGGAACTGAAGGGCAGCACATTAAGTAATATATTTGTCCATGCGCATGAACAGTGCACATGAACAATCCGTTAAGAAAGATGAGGTTAGCCCACGCTTCCAATTAAGTCTATATTTTGTTTTCTGATCTTGCCTGGATATCAGGTTTCAGTTGGTAGCAATTTTCCTGCTATGTTAAATTTACAGTTCATTCCTGTGCCCCGAAATTGTTTTAGCATTAGCAAAAGTGTTTTATGTGGTAGAAAATGGTTCTTGTAAAGTCATTTAGCTTGTTGCTCGGACCCCTCCCTTTCCCTTATTGTGTAAGTTAGAGATAGAAGATAGAAAAGTGAAAATTGTCATCGTACATTGCATTTCTAGTTACAAATAATATTGCTAAGATCACTCATTGGACAAATTTATGAAGCAGGGAACATCTAATTCTACGGAAAGCATGAAAGAGGAGTTCACTCCAGAAGATGTGGATTTCAATCTTGTAAAGAATTTCCTCGATACATTT